AGGATCTGCCTCGTATGGGCCAATAGGCCTTCTGCCGTTGCCTTCATTCTTATGTCATATTCTAATCCTGCTTTCCATCCACCTATGTGTGTTTTGTTGCATATTTTGGGAGTTATCTCTCATGTAGACACGTACACACACACATGAGAGGTGTTACCCTGCCGATGTTGACTTACACAGTTCATGTAATTTTGTCTTAAGTCTTCTACAAGGTACCTCAGTGTAAGGTGCACTGTTGATAGATGCAAGGATTTGATGTGTATATATAATACACATGTATAATTTTCGGGTATGTATAATTTTCTTGTGTCGTTGTGTTTGTAGATTATTTCGATGTTGTTACTCAAGATGTCTTTGAAGATCATCTGGATGTGGGTATTAATGTGGGCTTTGATAGAGCCATGTTGTTTATACATTGTTAGGTGTCTTGGAAGATATGTTGTCTTGCCTATATATTGCGTCATATAAAGACAAGAGCCAGGCCCAATAAAATGGCAAATTTAACTCCGGAGAGTTATTAACTTAGTTCCTGTCCACATACACAATGCACAAGCAAGAAGTCACTATCAGAGATCACAAAATCTTTACACACATCTACATCTGCTCCACATTTATCCTGATAAAATAGTCGACAGATTCAATGACAGTAGAAAATTAGATGTAGCCTAAAGCAGTACATATCAAACTCTCCAATCCAATTATTACAGCTATCAAACACTCGGTTACATCTAACTACCGTCTACTACCATCTAGTAGGTATAGCTGAATTGCAAGACATTCAAAACCAGCACTCTACTAGACACTGGTCTGAAACTAGGATTCCCCCTGGTGATGTCGATTTCGTTTCGCCTTGTGTGTTATGTGGATTTTCCGGAATTCAAACTGTGCAACCTATTCATCAGCTTTTTCTTTACCGCAAATCCACTCACCAAGCAGACTGGGGTAGTTAGGCAGAGAACCACTGCACAGAAGAGGAGCTGAGAGTCAAGATATGTACTTGTTGCAGACATGTGGACTACCAAAAGGAAATCACTTTTGTATGGAGCACTCACGGGTGTGAGGCGAGAAAAGCCATAGGGGTATTTTTGCATGTCCAGCCAAACTGTAGCTTCTTCATCCATGATGGAGACTGACCCAACAACAATGGTTGTTGGTTTTTGAAAGGGCTGTTCTGAGTGCTAGGGGTTGCAAGAATCTAACACTTTGTTGGGACATCCTGCAAAGCTGGGATCATATATCTGTTCTAGTTTTGGGCTTAAAACCTATTAATACTTGGAGGTTTATGAAGGCCACCACAAGAGAGTACTGATCCTCCAGCAAGTATACTTTCATCGTCAGCAAGGTTAAAATCCTCGATGTATATATGCTCGTAAATATACCTATTATAATTCTCTCTCTGTATTCTCTCTCTCGAAATATCTCTCTCTCTCTCTTTCTCGCTCTCTGGGATAATCACTCACCTGCACCGTCATCTTCCAACCATTTCCTTAGTGACGACCTTTCAACCTCCTCTCGTACTAAACTTTCCCTATTTTTTCCTCAAAGTACCGAACTAAATGAAAAAAAGACTGAAGAAAGGAAAAAAGCCCCTCGGTTATGGGAACCACTCAGACGTCCAGTCAGTATTTAAATTTTCACCTCCATCCCCCCTTTTTTTGTAACCAAGAGGTTTCTGAAAACAAAAGATCTCTCAAGTTACGTGCGAAGTTTGTTACGACGTCGTTACGTGAGATTGAGATTCGCTAGGCATAGAGGGGATAGGGCAAAGAGAAAAGAATATCGGTGGTGACACGTTTAATATCAACCTGGAGTGAAGCATGTGGAGGAAACGTGGAAGAAAAGGAGAGAGGGAACAAAGGACGGAAGATAAAATGTGAGAGATAGAAGGAAAGGGTATGGAAGAAAACGGGGAGATAATGAATCAACTCGTCCGCCTATTTAGACCGTCGCATTTTGACGTTATCTCTTCCCTAAGGCCAAAAATAATCATACTAGAAAATGGCAGCGGTTCGCAAAACTGACATACTGTCCCGTTTTCTGTTTTGTGGGTCCTCTGGTAGGTTAGGATAACGGCACTCAAGTACGACAGTTTTTTAACGTTGGGAAACCTTAAGATGATGGCTTGAGTTATGATCTTTATAGGGCCAGTGTAATCAGCTTGGGATATGTGGATACATTTAGACAAAGCTAATTTTGTGGATTCCTGAGCGATTATGTGACTAGATTATTGCATTAATCTCATCCTTGCTCGCGCTCTCTCTCTCTCTCTCTCTCTCTCTCTCTCTCTCTCTCTCTCTCTCTCTCTCTCTCTCTCTCTCTCTCTCTCTCTCTCTCTCTCTCTCTCTCTCTTTCACACGCAACCCCACCCCTCTACACACAGACACACAACACCCACCCCCCAAACACACTCGCCCACGCCCTTCACCCACACACAAACACACAAGGGGACGTATTCACGTAGTCCCGCTCTCATGTCAAGTCTCCGCACGGCCAGACCCGGACATTTTGGGAGAACCTCGCGTATGCAGGTAGCGGGACTGGGTTTTTGCTGGTGTGGCAGATATTGGAGGTTTCACTTCGTTGGATGCTGAACCCTTGCGAGCGTCAGCGTATTCTCTGATTGCTCTCCTTGTGAGTGAGGACAGGCAATGTGTGTGTGTGTGTGTGTGTGTGTGTGTGTGTGTGTGTGTGTGTGTGTGTGTGTGTGTGTGTGTGTGTGTGTGTGTGTATGTGTGTACCAATTTGTGTGTGTGTGTGTCTGTACACCATTTTTTTTTGTGTGTGCGCGCGCGCACCAATTGCTCACCAATTTGTGCCTGCGGGAATGATCTTCAGTTATTAGGACCCAAACCAATAATTTCACTGCAAAAGCTAATTTTGAAATTGTCAGTCCTGTTAGCTTCTACAACCTGATTTTCTAGTAGTTCATTCTATTTTCCTACTGTTCTCACGCTATTGTCTTTTTTTTCTAACATTTCTGTGGCTCAGACGTTTCTCAAGCCCATGTGCCTTTATGCTCTTTGGTATTGTCATCTTTTCCCCTTTATACCACCCTTTTCATACCCCCAAAGTGTTTTACATCTCTCTCTCTCTCTCGCTCTCTCTCTCTAGCAATGTTAGATTTAGTCCATTCTGTTTTTATTCACACCACAGCCCTCTTAATTCTGAGACGAGCCTTGTTACAAACCTCTGAAGTTTTTCAAGTTTGTTCATGTGATTTATTAGGTGGGGGGGCTCCACGATAGGGCTACATACTCTTGCACTGGTCTCACGTAGGTGCTGAACACACAGTTTCCTGAATGACTTATTATTAAAGGGTTCTGAATGTTGTTCTGACTTTTTACCAGTGAAGGAAGGGCTGCTAAACTTATCCTTTATGTGTGTCTCTGGAGTTGAACTAGGTGTTATGAATGTGTACTCCGAGGTCTTTTTTCCCTCTAATCATCACATGTAGGAAATTTCACTTAATTGTAAAGTTATGATAGGTCGTTTGTTTCATGTCCTCATTTCCATCATCTTACTCATGCTTAAGGTGAAATCCAGAAGCCATTTCTCAGACAAACTCCTCAGCTTGTCTCAAGTCATCTTGCTGTTAGTCATGTTCTCACGAGTTTATGCATCGTTGGTGATCATTGACATGTAAGATAACCCTCCAGTCGCTGCCCATCTCCCTTTGACTTGATAAATAATTTTTTTTGGGGTGGAATAGCCTTCCTTATAAGTTCTATACTTCCTACAGCACATATCAAAGAATTTTACTACTGTACTCTCAGGCAATTTGATAGTCGAGTTTCCTTTCTTTGAATCCGTGACTTACGGTGGTTGCTTTCACTTAAGTCATGTGGAAGAAACACTGGCATCTGGCACACAGTGGGGTTTCCTACTCCAAGTTCTCATCATCTTTATACATTAAAGTGAAGATCTGGCCCAGTAAACTAGTTATATATTTAATCCTCTTTTGTTTAAAGGAGGTAATTAACATGTTTTTTTGTAAAAGGCATTTCTTTGCCACCATTTCGCTATCATTCTCTGTGCTGCTCTTTTACATTTCATCGATGCTTGCTTTATTGCCATCTTCGGTCACGGCTGTGTAACTCCCAGGTACTGATTTACAACTAGGTGAACAGGGGCATTTGGTGCATGATGCCCATTTGTTTCTGCCTCGGCCGGGAATCGAACTCGGGCCCTCAGAACTACGTCCCACCGAACGCTGTCAAGTCGGCGGATAACCATGAAGGTTGGTTTGCATGTTTGTTTATTCTGTTATATTTTGAAAGTTGCGTTTGAACACCAGTGGCCAGATTCACGAAGCAGTTACGCAAGTATTTACGAACGTGTACATCTTTCCTCAATCTTTGACGGCTTTGGTTGCATTCATTAAACAGTTTACAAGCATGCAAACTTCCCAATCAACTGTTGTTATTGTTAAAAACAGCCTCCTGGTGCTTCGGACCTAATTAACTATTTAATAATTGTAAACAAAGTCACCAAAGAATGAGAAAAGATGTACAGGTTCGTAAGTGCTTGCATAACCGCTTTGTGAATCTGGCCCCTGATAGCTGAGCCTGATAGGGCCTGATAGCTGAGTGGACAGCGCTCTGGACTCGTAATCCTAGGGTCCGGGTTTGGTCCCCTGTGATGGCAGAAACAAAATAGGCCGAGTTTCTTTCACCCTGATGCTCCTGTTACCTAGCAGTAAATAGGTACCAGGGAGTTAGACAGCTGTTACGGGCTGCTTTCTGTGTGTGTTGGGGGGGGGGATTAGTTAGTAATTAGTAACAGTTGATTGAGAGTGGAGAGGCGGGCCCAAAGAGCAGAGCTCAACCCCCGCAAGCACAACTAGGTGAATACATCTAGGTGAATACACACACTAATGTACAATCACCCTCCTCTCTACCCCCACCAAACCGGTCACATAAATCTCCAAAACATCCCCCATCCTCATCATTTAAAAAGCGATGGTGACGAAGGATGAGGATTTATAAAGTTCCACCATTACCTTAACTCCTACCATAAATATTATTACCAACAGCCTCACTATCACTGTTACCAACAGCTTCACTATCACTGTTAACAACAGCGTCACTATCCCTGTTACCAACAGCTTCACTATCCCTGTTACCAACAGCTTCACTATCCCTGTTACCAACAGTTTCACTATCACTGTTACCAACAGCTTCACTATCCCTGTTACCAACAGCTTCACTATCACTGTTACCAACAGCTTCACTATCCCTGTTACCAACAGCTTCACTATCACTGTTACCAACAGCTTCACTATCACTGTTACCAACAGCTTCACTATCACTGTTACCAACAGCTTCACTATCACTGTTACCAACAGCTTCACTATCCCTGTTACCAACAGCTTCACTATCCCTGTTACCAACAACTTCACTATCCCTGTTACCAACAGCTTCACTATCACTGTTACCAACAGCTTCACTATCCCTGTTACCAACAGCTTCACTATCCCTGTTACCAACAGCTTCACTATCCCTGTTACCAACAGCTTCACTATCACTGTTACCAACAGCTTCACTATCCCTGTTACCAACAGCGTCACTATCCCTGTTACCAACAGCTTCACTATCCCTGTTACCAACAGCTTCACTATCCCTGTTACCAACAGCTTCACTATCCCTGTTACCAACAGCTTCACTATCCCTGTTACCAACAGCTTCACTATCCCTGTTACCAACAGCTTCACTATCCCTGTTACCAACAGCTTCACTATCACTGTTACCAACAGCTTCACTATCACTGTTACCAACAGCTTCACTATCACTGTTACCAACAGCTTCACTATCCCTGTTACCAACAGCTTCACTATCCCTGTTACCAACAGCTTCACTATCCCTGTTACCAACAGCTTCACTATCACTGTTACCAAGAGCTTCACTATCACTGTTACCAACAGCTTCACTATCCCTGTTACCAACAGCTTCACTATCCCTGTTACCAACAGCTTCACTATCCGTGTTACCAACAGCTTCACTATCACTGTTACCAACAGCTTCACTATCCCTGTTACCAACAGCTTCACTATCACTGTTACCAACAGCTTCACTACCACTGTTACCAACAGCTTCACTATCCCTGTTACCAACAGCTTCACTATCCCTGTTACCAACAGCTTCACTATCACTGTTACCAACAGCTTCACTATCACTGTTACCAACAGCTTCACTACCACTGTTACCAACAGCTTCACTATCACTGTTACCAACAGCTTCACTATCCCTGTTACCAACAGCTTCACTATCCCTGTTACCAACAGCTTCACTATCCCTGTTACCAACAGCTTCACTATCCCTGTTACCAACAGCTTCACTATCCCTGTTACCAACAGCTTCACTATCACTGTTACCAACAGCTTCACTATCACTGTTACCAACAGCTTCACTATCCCTGTTACCAACAGCTTCACTATCCCTGTTACCAACAGCTTCACTATCACTGTTACCAACAGCTTCACTATCACTGTTACCAACAGCTTCACTATCACTGTTACCAACAGCTTCACTACCACTGTTACCAACAGCTTCACTATCACTGTTACCAACAGCTTCACTATTACTGTTACCAACAGCTTCACTATTACTGTTACCACCGCCATATCACCATTACCACCATGTTGAGCTTCGCTATGACCACCACCATCATCAATTTCACCTTCACCCCCCCCCCCTTCCCCGTGCTAACAATCTGGCCGCTATTCTTAATCCGCTTTTCACTCGCTGTTGACTGATAACTGAGCTCCCAGTAAAACTCTTATTACAGCCGCTTGTGTACCAGCACGACTGGATTGATTACCCCGTGCAAACAGCAGCAAACAATTCCTACAAAGACAAGCTTTCCATCCAACAAAAGTGCGACTTTGATTATCCCTCCCCCCCCTTCCCCCCCCCCACACCCCCCTTTAATACGCGCGGAGCGTAAGTGCTGTTTTATGAAATCCTAAACACTTGGTTGATTTATCTTCTTTCCGGAGCAGAACCTCGCTTTTCCAGCTAAATCAATGCCATCTGATTTCATTGGGTGGATTGTAGTGTTGAGTGATAAGTTCAGTGATGTGTTGAGCTCCGAGTATTGCAATGAATGTCGCGTGGAGTGCTGGGGGCTGAATGTGGAGTTTTAATGCTGTGTTGAGCTCACTGCTGAGTGAGTGTTGTGCTCGTGTCGATGTTGAGTGCTGTGTGTTTAATTGTTATATTTAGTTCGATGTTGAATGTCATTTTTGTCCCATGTTGAGTATTGTGTTACGTGCCCAGCGAGAGCTGTTGACTAGAGTCCTATTCATTGCATCTTTCACTTTTGCCTTGTTACTCGCAGTGAGACACTGCTTACTGTAGCGAGACACTGCTTACTGTAGCGAGACACTGCTTACTGTAGCGAGACACTAGCTGCTTACTCTACCGAGACTCTCTTTCTCGCTAGAGTAAACGATGAGAGCATTAGTGAGACAGTGTGTGTTCATTACGTACGCGTGGGGATATGTTGGTTCATCAGACCGCCTGGCTCTCTCTCTTCCTTCCATTGGCTCTCCCGACAGATCGATATAAAGACTCCACTAGCACATCCTGACACAAATTTATAAACATCTGACTGGTATGGATTGCTCCAGAAGGATGTAAAGTGCCAAGCAAATGCTTTAATGCATACTAATATTGTTGTTGTTTTAGATTCAGCTACTCGGAACAAAAAGTTCCAAGCAGCACGGGCTATGGTGAACCTGTCGGGGGACTTACCTGGCACAATGTGCTGTATGCATACTGATTCTCCAGCACAAGCATATTGCTCATCAGTAGTATCTGACCAAGTCAAAAACTTTAGTCAAATCCAACCCGTCCTCAGGGATTGTTCATCACATTTTGAGGTATAAATCCCCCAGAGGGCAAAATTTGGTGTACTAAAACTTATATAGCCGCTCGCAAAGTCGACGAGATGTCCGTTTTCTATTTGAGGGTCCTCGGTTAGGGTAGGGGAATGTAGTAATTCCGTTTAGTGGCGTTGTGAATGCTCCAGAGGACGGGCTGTCTGGTCGTCCTTGGTTTGGTTACAGTTGCTGAGTGACAGCCCATGTTAAAAACAAAGCCTGGAGGAAATTTAAAGGAAATCCTGCTCACAACAGGAACATTTCATAGACAATCTTCTCGTAATATGAAAGAGGAACAACAGTGGGCTATATCCAGACTGGAAACAGAAACTAGAAGAAAACTTGCATTAGGAAGATTTCGACCCACAGTCTGGGGGTCTCTTTTTAAATATCGGCAAGCATACTCATCGAAGGACATAATCCCACCTTTAAACCAGGAAGGTGGAACGCTCAACCAGTAGGATGAAAAGTCGGGAAAATGAATGAATCGGGAAAAGTCTGACTTAAAGGCAAACCACTTTGTTGACAAAGTGATTCTGAACGACGACTTCCGCATCTTGATCCAGTGACCAGATAATTTTTTGTCTTAAGCGGTCATTCTAGAGACTGAAATTCACAATTTTTTTTTTTAAACACTCGACATAGGCAAGACAATGGCGTTAAATAAAGTCAGCCCAATACTACTACGTAATCAAGAGGCCCTACTGGCTCCACTGTGTATGCCTCTGTCCTGCGTGACAGTGAATACCAGCATTATTCTTACTTTAATAAGACTTAATCGAAATCCTCAGATTTGGCAAAATTGACAATAATTTTGTCAATAAAGATGTTAATAATAAAAAAAATAACCCCTCACTAGCCTCTACCAACTATCTGTAAATGAATTTGACTATGAAAGAATGGAGATATTGGTCCAATACACACAAAGAGAAGTCGTTCAGTGGTCGGTACAACTACAGACCAGTGTCACGGCTTTCAATAACCGGTAAAATTCATTAGATATTAATCTCTTGGCATACGACTTTTTTTTTTGACAATCATCGACTAATTTGTAGTTGATATTGTGTTTAAAAAAAGTTGTTCTGCTGTTGATCTCTTGCTAAATCTCTTCAATAACTGGCCTGAGTTACTGGATGAGTAAAACGTTAGCTGTGTTGTTGTATTGCACAGTGCAGGCGCCTTTGATCGTGTATATCACTTTGGAATACTAGTAAATCTTTATGCACTAGATATCTCAGGCGCCATTTTACAACTAATAAAGACCTGTATTTAAGAACGAGTCCTAGGAGTACCCCGCAATAGGGTTGAATCTGGGAGTCACTCAATGGGTGCCAGCATACCACAGGGTAGTTGGTTTGGCACTTTGTGGCGGAATGTCTACTCCAATGATCTGTTATATCTCATGCCTAAAGTTTAGGCCGATGACGGTATTTTATCAAATATTTCCAAATGGATAAGATGAAATACAAACCGCTACATGGGTCATTAATCGCCAAATTTCAGCAATAACTAACTGGAAAAGGCGATGGTCTGCAAATGACTGACTAAAACCTGGGGTTTAGTTAAGTTGACACTCGAAATGAAGTTCGATTCATCAATGATCATGAAAAGCCAGATGCTCAACCAAACAGGACAACCAAGAAACTTTCAGCCCTACGGAGAATCTCGTACTTTCCTGACAGCGGGGGTTGTGAAACTTTATATGGAAGCTCAAGTTAGCTCACATCTTGAGTATGCACCGCTGTCCTGGACATCCAGCGACCCCCATCATTCATCAGAATTTTTGACTAGGTGGAGAACTATGGGAGAACTTTCGTCTCTAGTCTTTGCCCGTTCTGGTTGGACTGTTTGGACATAGGGACCTTCAACACTAGCGAGATGTTGGTGGATTTTCCGTTATTAATAAGCTCAATATTCACAAAGTTCCTCACCTGGCCTCACCTGGACAATCGGAAGTTGACAACGATAACACAAGGCGCTTAGCCACAAGGACATCGCTCCATCAGCGAGCAATCCTTCATAAACTTACTCGCAACTGCAATTTGTTCGTCTCGACACGCTGATACACTTTACATCAAGTCAATAAACGATATGAAGGCTCTGGCACACAGCTTTTTACTCATCCTGTTCCTTGCAGGATAATTAACATTAAATTTAGTTTACTCCTTCCACATACAAATAATAACCTCGTCAAATAAATGAGTCTGTTAAGGGTATCAGCTCTTCAAATGAGTTGATACAAGATAACAGCTCACAGCTTGCAGTAAAAGGCGTTCCTCGTGAACTTCAAACTTAAAGAAAAAAAATGAAAGAACGACATTGGTATACGCAATTTCGATACTAGAATGGGGGGGAAAGTATAATTATGAAGGCCATTTACAATTTATAGAGAAATTTCGTGCATTGTTAGAAGCGGCGGAGTTGGATGGCTGCTGTCCAGGTAGCTTGGAAACAGCAAGACAAACATTGATCATGTTATAACGTATGAGGAAAAATATAAAGAAAGATGTAAGTATTAGTGGAGTGTTTGGGAGAGCAGCAGTAAAGATGGAGGTGCTATCGCAAACTCTTGGTGATAATAAAGTTCACGAGATAACCAAATTTGAATAGACTAAATAAAAATAAGTTCAAAGAATTAAAAAAATGAATGTACTGAAACTGATTTACTAGATAGATAGTTTTTATTTTTATTTTGAATAATGCAAGTGACCAGATATAAAGAAAACAGAGAGAGAGAGAGAGAGAGAGAGAGAGAGAGAACAAGAAACAAACGAAGAGAAAGAGCCTAATATATGTAAAAACATTCAACAAGACAATCCCAATTTGTCTAACATTCGGATTAACATCAACTGACAAACTGAGAGAGCAGCAGCAGCAGCAGCAGCAGTAAAAAGAGAGAGAGAGCAGACGTCGTCTTGTCTCACATTTCCAGTCACAGAGAAAATCTGGCCACTAATACACCGTAAGGTTTATGAGGCAATCTTGCACTGTCGCTCCGAGGGCCGAGTTATTGGGGTAGCCAACTCCTCCTGACGCCACCTCAATACGTCGCCCAAGTTTATCGCTTATAAGCTGGAGGCGGGCGAAGGCCCTTCAAGGCTCCCCAGTCATAATGCCGACACTGACAGATATACACCCATGTATCGTCATTTGTATTTTTAAAACTATTTAATTACATGTTTATTACATAAATATATATTATGATTTTTCATACGTCATGATGTGTAAGGATATATATATATATATATATATATATATATATATATATATATATATATATATATATATATATATATATATTGGGGTACCACTTCTGGTTAAATTTAGGGACCCATGGCCGCGGAGATGAGAATAAAATGTATCCAAAGAAGACCTTGTGGATTCTCACTGAATCCTCCCCCTCTCTTATCCCTCTATCCCTATCCTCCCCTATTATCCATTCCCCTCTCTTATCCCTCTTTCCCTATTCCCCCTCTCTCTTCCTATCTTTCCAGTAATAGTATTACTTCCATTATAACATTTATTATGCTTCATGAATTATTAGTGAGGATGGACATTTTTTATTTAGTGTGATTGGAAAATTGTGGACTTGATCCTTTAATGCAAAGAGGGGACATGAGGCTCAACCCCCGACCACCCTATGTATTACCTGTAGACCAGACCATTCACCCTGTAAGGTTTCGTGAGGCTAGCCCAAAGCGTCTTGGTCGCCTATTTTGGACACTTATTCCTACGGAACTATGGCAACCTATAGTGCCCCGTTATCCTTTCCATTCTTTCTCCCTCCCTGATATTCATAACTTTTTATTTCTGCTTTTGAGGGTTGTAAATTTAGGTAACTCACAACTTCCATTTTCTTTGCATTCTTATTTGCACTTGCAGTTCTAACTTCCAGCTTTCAAGAAGCTACTCCTGTACTACCTTCATCTATTTCTCTAGATATTTCGTGTATAGAGATCATATCCCCTGTGCTCCTCCTCCTTCTCTCCTCCTCCTCGTCTAAGGGAGCGTTACTGAGTTATCTTAACCAGTTTAGTCTTGTGCTTAACGAGTAGCAGGTATTGATGCTCCCGTGTTTTGTCTTCTCAGCCTGATATCGGCCGTGTACTTTGTTTGGAAAGTCTGTTATTTCGGCTTTTTGGTGTTGTTGGTGTTAATAGCCTGGAATTATATCGACTTCCGAGTGTTTTTCCTACTCGTCTATCTCATCATCTTACATCACTATGAATAATGAATGAGTGATGTCAGATGATGAGATAGATGAGGCCAAACCATTCTACGTTTTAAAAACATTTATGATGATAAATTTCAGGGGCCAGATTCACGAAGCAGTTACGCAAGTACTTACGAACGTGTGCATCTTTCCTCAATCTTTGACGGCTTTGGTTACATTTATTAAACAGTTTACAAGCATGAAAACTTGCCAATCAACTGTTGTTATTGTTATAAACAGCTTCCTGGTGCTTCGGAAATCATTAACTATTTAATAATTGTAAACAAAGCTTCTGAAGATTGAGAAAAAATGTACTGGTTCGTAAGTGCTTGCGTAACAGCTTTGTGAATCTGGCCCCTGGGCGTCTGATGACTTTGTGATCGATAACTAAAAGGATCTGATGGTTGACCTTGTACTCACGACTAGGTATATACGAAAAAAAAACCAACACACAAATGCATATAAACATTCAGTCAGACAAAAAAAAAAAATAAAAGGGAGCACAACAAAACAGTGCAAATTTATTTCCCAACAGCGAGCCCAAAAGTGCATTCAACCCTTGCCATTAGCAGACTGGGTCGCCAGCAGATGTGGTCGCCGGGAGACAAACACTGTGTTCAGTGGCCAACTGAACGCACATTTTTTGTTTGGAAGGGGAGGGGGGAAGGTTGGGAGGGGGGAA